AAAGTTCACTGCACCAGCTACCCAGCAGGTCATTTGGAGCTTGCATCACTATTTACCTACCTGCCTATGCCCTTGCTCCTCAGTGGCACTGAGCACCGCTCACACCAGTCTGTGCAGTCGGAGACTAGCTACGTCCTCAGAAGGGAGCCCACTAAGGGAGACTTTGCTGAAGTAAGGAAATCAGGTAAAGGGCGAGAGGCCGTTGATTATAACTGGGATAAGCCTTTGTAATCCTTAATCTGGAGGTAGCTGGTACATGATTCTGAATAATGTGTTAAACAAGCAAATCTTTTTTATATTCTGATGAGGGACTGGGGGCATGACACCAGGAAAGTGACAATCTAAGAAACCTATCACTGGTGGCTTCAGGACATGAGAGAAAGAGGAGTGAGTATCCTGCCCACTGGATGGGACTAGAAGTGTAATAACCACAAAAGGGTCAAGGATGCCTCTCACATTATAAACTGGGCACTGGACTTAAGTAATGCAGCCACGTAGACACTGAAGAGGTGAGGAGGGGAGAGAGCTTCTAGGAAAACAAAGTCAACCTCTGTTTCAGATTTTTTTAATGCTCTCAGCAGACCCAAATACACTCAGAAGTTAAAATATGTCAAACAGAACTGGGCAGGAAGGCCGGCTCCAACACATGAGAGAACAGCTCTGAACAGTAACCTTCTGAAACTTCATTTCTCTACACATTCAAACACAGGCTCCTGTCAACACTCCTGGAAACCCCCAGTAGAGCCTTTGGCATTAAGAAGTGCTCAATGTTAGGCCCCTTCTCTCTCCATCAGCAACTTCATGCCCGACCCCTTCCCAGCCACGCACAAGCCCCCGCCTGTCTTGCCCCAGTCCTTACAGTGTGTGTTTAGCCCAGACTCTGGGCACTGATCTTTCTCCTAATTTCCAGTCAAGCTCTGTGGCAGGGCCAGAGTCCTTCCTAAACACTGACTGCCTGGTGGGGCCAAATCTTTGCAAAACCCTCTGCCATGAGCTACATCCTTTGCTGTCTCCTCTCCTTCCTTGACTACCCCCACCCCCCTGCCCTGCTCCTGGCCGAGAATCCACACTGAACAATGCCACTCACCTCCTTCCCCAGAGCCACAGGGCTGCCACCCAGCTGAGAGTGAGCCTGGGAGCCACACACTCCACTGCTGCTCTCTCTGGCCTCCAGACCCGGTGGTCTCGTGACCGTCTACCAACCCTCAGCTCTAGGGACCTCCATTACGCACTGGCTCTTCCATCTCTGAGCTTGTTACAGGCTACTGGAGAATATGATTTAAAAACTCTAATGAGGTCTCCACTTAGCATAGTACTTAGCACGCAATAATGTAACAGTAGCAGTAAAAACTGCACTACTTACTGAGTGCTTACTAAGTGCTAGGCACTGCTGTAAAAGCTTTATGTGAATTAAGTTATTTAATCTTCATAACAACCGTAAGAGGTAGGCACCATTATTTTACTTATTACACAGGTGAGGAAACAGGCAGAGTAGACATTCCTAGTGTTCTTAAAATGAATCAACTTCAAGTGGGCCCACAGAGTTGTCCAGCAATCATTTTTTTCATCCATTCTCCCAGCAGATACTTTAAAAGTCATCCTCACTCAAGTACCTGACCAACTTCGGTCCTTCTCTCCTCCTCTACCAAAAGGATCAGAGGCATACATTGCACATTCTGCAAACACTACTATCCCAAATGTTCACCTTCACTCAAAATGTCTCTCTCTGTATTTCCTCCTCCTAGAGGAAAGAAGAAAGTAATTCCCAAAGTGCTTTCCTCCCTCTGTCATTTTGTCCCATGCTCAATTCTTCTGGAGCCCTGCTCTAACCCTCCTGAACCACACTTTCCGCCTCTACCCCTCAACTCAGCAACGTTCCTATTGCCAAAACACAATCAAAACCTCGTTTCCCCCCCACAAAGAGAATCCCTGCTCAAACCTTGTAAACTTGTCAAGCCACCTCCTTTTCATCACCAAATTTCTCCAAAGAATAGCTCTACATCTTTTTCCCTTCTTTACCAAAACTCACACCCGTAGCCACCAGATCTGAATTTCACCTCAACATCCTTAATGAAAACTGTAAAAAGTCCTCAGAAGCCATCATGGGTCCTCCCGTGTCTCGAGTCCAGGCCTTTGAGGCTGGCATCCAGATTCTCCAGGAGCTGGTCCCTAACAGTCCCTCCAGGCTAGTTGCCGTCACACCCTAATGAGTTTCACGTGTTCAAGACTTACCTCTCCTTTAAGGTTCTTGCTTAAGTCACACCTCCCTCTAAATTCTTACCTCCTATTTGTGCTAGTTATTAGTTCTTTATACACAATGCCTCGAATTATGTGTGCATACAACTTATGCTTTGTAACTACACAAGAAGCTCTGTAGGGGCAACAGTTATGTCTTAATTCCTATTTCCCACAGTCACTGCAGGGCAGGACAGGGTGCCTAGGAGCAAACTTTAAGAGGCACTCATCCTCAGGGTCGTGTAACTGCAGGGCCAGTACTGAAACGTCACCTCACTTGCCTCACCCTGACTCAGCCCTGTAACTAGTGATGTCTTTGACATGGACTGAGAATGAATGAATCTATAAACCAATGAATCATTAAGACGTTAGTATAAGGACTTTGGGTGATGACTACTTAATCTTTGTTGGAGATAAAACTGGACATAACAGGCATATCATGCAATCACAGTCACAGAAAAGACGTCTGCTGAGAAGGTTCTAGGAACAGAAATATCACCCAGGAAGACTCTCCCCATGTCCTCCACAAGCTGCTGTTGTGTCTGAATATAACACCCGGAATTATTCACTGCAGCCATACCTGGAGTAACCTCAAGATGAAACCAAGGGAAGAGAAAGACAGAGCCAAGAGCGGGTGGAGCTGGTGCCCTGATCTTCCGTGTTTGTGGCCTGCCCATCCCCTGCACTTCTCATGGGAGACAATAAGTCATTTGATCCAGTAAGCCAGCTGAGTCAGGGTTTTCGATTATTTCAGCCAAAACAAGACTGATATGGCATCATTTTCCAGGAGAGAATGGAATGGCAGAAAAGGAAGCCGGGCTATTTCTGCACCCTCCTCTCTGGCTTCTCCCAGGAGAAGGATGAGTTGGTCTGGGGTAAAGGCCCCATGCTCAGCCAGGCCTTCCAGCCCTTGCTCCTGAATGTCTCAGCGATGAGAACTGACCACAGCCGCTCCGTGCTTCAGTCTCGCATTGGAGAAGCAAGGCCGGCTGGGCTCTCCATCTGACACCGGGAGAACCGCATTTCCCTGCTTTCCTCAGACCAGCCGGCAGGAATAAAACATCTGGTTCTGGCCCGGTGTTTGTTCAAAGTGCACTCTCTGATGAAGTCTTAGCAACTGTAAAGCTGATTCTTTGAGTCGTATTTGGCCCCTTCTGTCTGGCTTCCGACAGCATAAGAGAGATTAGTCATTAATTAGGTCCCTCCAGTATCCCCAAAATTCTTCTCAGAAAACAATCACATTAAACTTAATTGGGGAAGTTGACTATAGCAAAGGAAAACAGTTTTTCATCAGAAAAAGTCTACAGTATTTGATCTTTGGCTTCAAGCCAAATGGTCTAAAAGGGACAGGACTTACCCTCACATGTGAAACAACTGAAACCAGGACAAAATACATAAAACAACACTTGTCAAGACAGTGAACGTAAGGCAATAAAAGACAACACTCGGTCATTCAAGATTCAGCCAAAGTGTCTATTTAGTGCACCTGTATTTTGATGGCCTGTTCTACCTCAACTTTTGCGATGAGAAAGTCTAGTTTAATTACTTCTGTTTAGATCCTTTATCTCTCCGTTCTTTCATCCATTTCCTCCTCCTCTTGTTATCCTTGCCTTCCATGAGCCCAGATCAGTAGGAAAGTCAAGAATACTCAACCAAGCCTAAGATGTCACCTAGCAACAGAAAAGTCGGCAAGAACAGGAACCATCCCCACCCCATCCTTCGGGTGGGTCTAAAATAAGTCCTGCCATCACTGGCATAGTTGCCTGCCCACAGACGACAGCTGGGCCCCAGGCCCCATGGGCAACGGGCATCTGCTCTACCTGTGAGTCACCTCCCTGTGGGGACAGGAGCCTCTTCCCTTACACTGGCCCATTTGCCTGGCACCCTGATCACCAGCTGAATCTCTGTTAGGGCCCTCTCCCCCGAGGTTGAGTCTGTTTCATCCCCTTTCTTATCCCATTCTCCCTCCCTCTTAACGCCCAGCTCTGGCTGGGAGCTCTTCAAACAAAACTAGCCCCTGCCACAGAACCACAATGCTTCACTCTGACTAACACTTTTGAGTGCTGGCTAACACCAAGATTGTTGCCGTCGAATCCCAGCACCAGACGGCACACTTTGGAGGCTGGCATGGGCTATGCTGAGCCCCAGATGCCCTCTGAGCCTGTCCTTCCATTCCACACCGAGCCCTCCACGATGGTGCCTGCATAGGCTGAGGCCTCAAAGGACACTCTATGCTACCTTAGACACTCCTGCCTGGGTGGAGTGAATGCAGGGCATCTGTGAAGGGGACCCAGGGTCCGGTAGCCTGACTGACAGAGAGGTCATTGCTCCAGGGAACCTGGGACGTTTTTTCTCAAAAATGTACAGAACTGATATGATAAGATAACATTTCTTTTTAATGCAATCAATATTTTCCCCATTATTTTTCCCCTTTTTCTTTTCCCATTCAAGCAACAAGGCTGTTCTGCTCTCACTGCCTCAGGAAAAGTATGTTACAATCAAAAACAGAATTCTTTTTTAAAGAAGCCTCTCCCCGGATTTATGTTTCCACACCTATACCCTTCCAGAAGAACGGAAAGGACTCATAGCATAAATTCAGCTTTGGAAGAATTTTATAAAGCAATCAAGGTTCTTCCTAAAGTTCAAGGCTAGACCTGAAACTTCCAAGGGGCTGAGAGTGTAGTCAGGGTCCACTGACCACCCAGCGCCCATTCAAGGAAGCACTATGCATAGCCTATATCCAGTGATTTCTTCAACAGCAGCACAGTACTTTTGCCCACTGATTTTTTCCAGAAGAAATGATGCTTCTCTGTACCTGGGAACTTGCATCCCTCCCCATTCCAGCCCCATCAATAAGCATGGATTAAGTGGTACCACAAAGCACCACTTCCCAGCGAACTGGGGAAATCTTTGCTGTTCACTCCCAGGAGGAAACACTGTATCTAAAGCATGTTGGATATTCTTGAGCCCTGCACAGTGACAGCCTCCCGGACTAGTCCTTCATCTCAGGCAATCCTGTTCTCACACAGATGCACTTACTCTTTTCAGCTCCTCTCCCGTTTGCCCCTTTTGGTTGCTCTGGGATACTCTCTCTCCTGTTCTCCCAATGGAATATATAAATAACCAGTGGCATTGGGGAATCCAAAACAGTATCTTAAGGCCACCTTTGAAGCCCATTTATAAGTTGTCTTTGGAAGGAAAACGATAGAGTTCAGGTTCAGAGGAAAAAAATACAACTGGGGACTTCATATTCTGAAACTTGAAACAAGAAGAAAAATTTATTGTTCTTAGGTTGGTTGATCCTACAAATCTTGATCAATGTTTAATGCAACCTAAAAACAAAATAAAAAGTGAATATGCTTTAATAAAATTAAATTGTGAAAATGTACAAGCCACAGAAAATTAGTTTATGTAATTTCTACATGACTAAGTAAGCGAAGTTTTTTTTGATAGTTTCAGATTATTTCAAATAAAATCCAAATTCAAGATAATAATTTAATTGTGTTCTCAATGTATTTATTAACCCATCCTTCATTCTACTTCTTTTGCTAGTCTCTCATTGTTATCCCTATCTTTGTTGCAGGGGTCCCGTACTCACCCCTTAAATGTTGAGATTTCTCATGGTTTTGCCCTGAGCACCCCACTTCACATTCTGCCTGCTCTCCTGGGTACCTTACTCCCTCCTTAGCTCCACTTAGCATATATGCCAGTGATTGCTGGATTCATATCTCCTGCCTGGACCTCTCTCCTGTCCTCCAGACCTGTATCATACATCAACTGATCTTTGGCCATTTTCACCTGCAAACCTCAGAAGTCACCTGAAACTCAACATGTCCACAACCAAAGCCATTATTTTCACAAAACCTACTTCCTCTTCATATGTTCCTCAATTGAACGAATGGTAAAGCTCAAAAAATGGTGAAGAGTCCAGCTGCCCAAGGGGTTTCATCCTTGATTTCTTTCTCTCCCTTATCCTCCCAGCCAACATTGGATCCACTCAGCTCTCCCCATCTCTGCTGCCTGCTCCCTGGACAGCTTGCATCTGGATGACTGTAATAACCCCGGTTCCACTCCTGCCCATTCAAATCCTCTCTCCACCTTCTAAAAACACATATTTAATCCTTACATAAACCTTTTTGATGACTCTTACTGCACTTCAGTCCAAAACCCTAACAAGACATACAGAACCCAGTGTGATCTGGTCTTTATCCACCTCTCCAGCTTCAAATCACACCATTCTCCTAGCTCCACGGGCCCCAGCCATGCTACTGGACTCTTTCAGTTCCTTGAAGGCATCTTGCTCTCTCCGTCCGCTGGGCCTGTCTCAGGTTAACTCCTTGTTTGTTTGTTTTTGTTTTTGTTTTGGGGGGAGATAATTAGGTTTTATTTATTTACTTATTTATTTTAATGGAGGTGCTGGGGATTGAACCCAGGATCTTGTGCATGCTAAGCATGTGCTCTACCACTGAGCTATAGTCAGGCTAATTCCTTATACGTCACTTCCTGGAGAAGACTCACCCAGGCCAGGTCAGGTTTCTCTGCTCTGTCCTCTCAGAGCACCTCCCCCACTGGCCCATCGACCCCCAAAGGGCAGGAACCCAGTCTGTTTTGTTCATTGGTATTTTCTAGCTTCTTGCATGTACCAAAACACAGCAGACATCTAATAAAAGTGTATCCACTGACTGATGAGCACCAAGTCCTTCCAGCTCCACTTTCAGAACAGCTCTTAAAAATACCATTTACTCCTTCAGGCCACCAGTGTCATTTCTCTCTAGATTACTACACAGAGTAGTAATCTAGAGAGAAATCTAGTAGCGGGCCTCCTCAAGTCTATTACTCCATTCTCTTCTACATGCTACAGCCAGATGGCCTTCCTAAAATGCAGTTCTGATCATACGGGCCTCCACTGCATTTAGGACAAAATATAAACATCTGAGCACAATGACAAGTCCTTTCGCGGTCTGGACCCGGCTGTCTCCATCCCTCCTGGCCTCCCACTCTCTCTATTCTCCCCAAGCTGGGTCCTCACGCTTTCTGCACTCTCAGCCTTCCACCCCACCACTGAGCGCCAAAGCTGATTTCCTTCGGGAAGCCTGCCCTGACCAAGGTTCCTCAGCTGGGCGGCTGTCCCACTTTGTCAGTGTACTCTGACGATTAAGGTGACCAAATGCACCCTCTGCCAGGGCAGTCCCAGCTTACACCTGCTGATCTGGCTCGACTGTCAACAGCTCCCCCTTTCACTCTCAAAGCATACTGGTTTGGACAATGAATTACCTGGTCACTCTAAAAGTGACTATTACTTGCTTGTCCAGTTATCTGTCTCTCCCCTAGACAAGGTCAAAAACTACCTGCTTCACTCATAACAGCACTGGGCACAATGTTTGGCACACAGAAAATACTGTATGTTTATTAAATAAGCAAATGTGCTTATATGCTGTAAAAGCATGCACTCTCATAAGGATATTTATTTGGCTCCAGGGTTTGCTTACTGAGAACCAAAATGTTGGCCCCCAAAATTTAAGTTAATGATTGTTTACTTCACCACATGATTTTAAATACATATTTTGAAGAGATATTGAAATTTTCAAAACTTCACTCCAAAATATATATATCCCCCTCTGCGCAAGAGGGCACATTACTACTTCAACATCAACTCCCAGCAACGTCCCCATCAGTGCCCACACACGTGTGCGGAGCCAGACATGTGCCCACGCGCCCCCTTGGGGCCAACAGCACACTGCACAAAAGGGCAGAAGGCCAATCAGGAATATGTCAGCACCCAGAGAACTGGTTTTCTTTCTGTGAAGCAAAAGGCCCCCTTGCCAATCAACCCTGGCCTCAGATGTACTAGGCTTTCCCAAAGTTACAAAAAAAAAAAGCTGCTTTCCACAAAATACCTTCCTAAGACTACTTACATCAGACAGCATCGGCTCATCGAGTTCTTCCACTCTGCTCAAGTTAGGTGCGCCATATCGATCACTGATCTCAGCCAGCGTTCTGCCTGAGTCGGGTACATCCTACAGTCATAGAAGTCATATTCACTTTTAAATGACTTTGAAATTAATGCATTAAGTTTCTTTCAGTTTTGATAAGACATTTCTAAATTACAACATTAAAATTCAACATTGTCAATTAATGAGATGAAGCAATACCTGCTAATGACAAGAAAATTCCAGGAATAAATGCCAAAATGTGTTAAAAAGAGTACACTCAGAAATTTAAAACATATCACTGTAAGTAATCATGTGGTCATTAATCTCACAATATTCTGTTTTTTAAAAATAAAAACAACAAACTGAATGCCCTGGTTTGACCCACTTTGAGTTTCTGCTTTAAAGTACATCGTATTTGTGACTTGCTATTACTAGAACACACATCTGGACTATCAGTTTTGAAAATCTCCTTACTGAAAATGTAGCTACAAATGCATCAAAACTAAGCTTTACGTTACAGGATACTTATTCATTTCCCATAAAGTAGAATAATTTTTCTTCTCACCTCTCCATGTGAAGTATCTTCACCCCTCACTGTATTTTCCAAGCTCATTCTCATCTATAATATATAAAAATGAAGAAAAATACTCTGAATATACTTTTCATTTTGATCCCATATTTAATTTTCAAGCATTTTTACTTTTATGTTATGATCAATTTAACAGCAAAAACATTGTTACTCTTAAAGGAGTGATCTGAATACACTTAATACAAAACTGCAGTCTCATTTAATACTCTGTTAATAGAGAACTATCACACTTTGTCTATAGTTAAATAGAATTTCTTAAAAAATGAAATGAGCTGAAACATTAAACCTGTAGCCAAATTACTAGCAAATGTGAAAAGTGAGGAAAAAGCAAAAATTTTAATGAACCCTTAGAATAAGAGATTTTAAAAAGAACTTGCAATTAAGTAGAACTTTATACACAGCAAAGAAGTAGGTATTTTAGAAGGAATTAATCTGGCCGAGTCAGTATCCAATGCATGAATCCTCTCTGTGGTACCTGGGCAATGCCCTCTATAATCCTGAGCTCATGGGAGATCTCCTTCTGAACATGAAAATCTTCTTCTAACCAAGCCAAACCTTGCTGGGGCCTCTATCTCTTCACTGTAAGGCAGCAGGCTGACCTAACTGTTCCTGGGCTGATTCATTTCGGCTGTCCAAAGATTAGCGATCTCATGACCACACAGTCACCCTGATTATTTGGGATGTATGTGGTACTGTTTTCTCAAGATCACTCCCTTCTCTTAGGTATGATTCATCCCACAACCACATGGCTCTGGTGGGAAAGTCCGTGTTCTCATAGAATTCTGTCCCCCCTCAGCCAACAGATGGATACTTGACACAAACTAAGCCAGCCACAATCCTTCCCCAAGATTCTTAACTGAAACTCCCCAAAAGGAATCCACTCCTCTCAGATGGTAAGAGCCATAACATTACAAGACCATGATCCTCACCCACGTGCAGCAAACAAGGCCACAGTGAGAGAGAGCACCAGGGGCGAGAGCCCTGGTAGCATTGATGCTCTCACTCCCAAAGGTCTGAAAGATCCAACTCTACCAGAGCCCTTCACAGTTCAAGTGTACAATCCTTTTCCTCAATCCAAGATCTTTTCAATTTTTTTTTTCAAATGATAGTTTAAGTCTTGTCTTTGAAACCACAAGAAGGCCAGGACTAAAAGACATTACTGAATTTGTCTCTGAGCACGGGGTCAGGCAGTAGTACTTTGCAGGAAAAAGGAGTGGGGTGATAAGCCAGTAGGAATATGGATTATTAAAGTTATTGTGGCTCCACCCTCTAGGCGGATCCATGTTGCAAATGGCAATGTTTCATTTTTTATGGCTGAGTAATATTCCCGTGTGTGCGCGTGCACGTGTGTGTACACATATACCACATCTTTTAATCCAGTCATATGTCAATGGACATTTAGGTTGTTTTTGTGACTTGGCTATTGTGAATAGTGCTGCTATGAATGTTAGGGTGCGTGTGTTTTTTCAAGTTAGTGTTTTCATCTCTTCCAGATACATGCCCAAAAGTGGGATTGTCAGATCACATGGTAACTCTACTTTTAGCTTTTTTAGAAACTTTCATACTGTTCTCCATAGTGGCTGCACCAATTTACATTCCCACCAACAGTGTAGGAGGGTTCCCTAAACTTTTAAAATTTGCTTTAAATAATTATGCTTTCATCCAAGCCATTAATAAATCTATGCTATAAAATCTGCTTCTGTTTTTAATTATGGAATAAATAAAGGAGTAACATTTGAGTAACACATTAGCTGTAAGCATACAATATAGAATATTCAGCTGAAAAGTATAATTCAGTCACGCAAAAGTTTGGCCTGTATGACACATCCTTTTTGGATACAAGGAAACACTGGCCAAACTGGCGGCTTGACATAAGAGAGAGACAGTCAATGGAGATGGACTTTTTTGACATAAGTTACTGAATAGTTAATTTGAAGAAAGACATGAAGAACCCACATATTTTAAATGTAAATTATTACTGATAGAATATCTAAGATGAAGAAAAGAGACATACTATTGTCTCAGAAATCAGAATACCCCAATTGTACAAAGACCTAAACCTTCAGTATCAGCTACCATAATTAGGAACAACTATCTCTTGACTAAAATGTTGACAATATCAGTATTAGAGAGCTCTACTGCTCACAGAGCAGCTCCATACACACAATCTTATTTGATCCATACAACAGTCCAGTGAGACATTGCTAGTAATATTATACTGTTATTCCTATTTTTCAAAAGGTAAACTGAGAATGAAAAAGGTTATATAAGGCACACAAATGATGTGTGGCAGGTTTTAGACTACAAACCCCAAGCTGTGACAGCTGGAAGGAACAGTCCGAGGAGTCTAAGAGGTCTTAAATAAAACAGACGTTCATGAAGCCTCAAATCACCTTCTCCAACTCTTGTTGCACTCTCTGCAGTTCTTCTATTTTCTGTCTCTCTTTTTCTTGCGTTTCCAACTGCAGCTGGAGTGCCAGCTGTTGCTGAATATTCAAAAGTAAATAATCTGTATTAGAGTCAGATCATTCACAAGGAATTCACTCTATTAGTCTGAAATCTCCCAGGATATCGAGTTTATGCCCACCTAAATTTTAGAAACTTACAAAAATAAATGGCCACAGCCACCCAACACATTAGCTTTTACAAATATTTCCTGAAGCATAAAACAAAAAAGGAAGCTTCCTTAAACGCTAATTTTAGAAAAGCACTATTTGTTTAAAATCAAGTCAATTTCTCTATTCTTCTTGAAGCTACAAATGGGACTGCAGTGATATTTTTCTCATATAAAATCTCTTTAAGTGTAGATGGATCTTCAAGCAGCCAAACCTTGGCTGTAGAATAGAAGATGAGAAAATATTACCTGACACCAGAGATAATCAACAACCTATTTGGTCCCAATTCAACATACACCCTAGCCATGCCAGGACAGAGGTCAGCAGACAAAATCCTACAGGCCAAGCCTGAGCCAACGCCTATCTTTGTACAGCCCACAAGCAAGGAGTGGTTTTTATACATTTTTAAATGGTTAAAATATATCCAAAAAATAGTATTTCATGACACATGAAAATGATATGCAATTCAAATTTCAGTGTCTACAAATAAAGCTTTATTGAAGCACTGCCATGCTCACTCAGTTACCGTCTGTGACTGCTTCTGCCCCGCCCAGCACAGCTGAGTGGTGCTCTCATCGCCTCGCACTGTTTCTCAGCACGCTACAAATCACAGTGACACCATTATAACAACGTTCCGAGTGCCACGGTATCAGTACACTGGGACTTTTTTTTTTTTCCCAGTGCATTACCCATCACATCAAGACAAGTAAAAGTAGATTTTGAATGCCACCCTTTTAAGACACAGTGGAGAGGAGTGCAGGATTATTTTATTATCAAATTAAATGGCAAAGGATGGTGTTTCTCACGTAATGACACTGTACTAAAAAAATACATTAGATATCAACATCATCAGAATAAGCACTCATCACAATATTCTTAACTCACATGAAAGTAAAGGTCAGAAATCTTGGAAAACAGAATTATTTAATCAGAGCAGAATTTCTTAAAAAAAAATCAAAAATGAAACTGAGGTTGCAACAAAACTAAGTTTCCAAGTGGCTCATTTGTTAACCAAGCAAAGAAATACATTTATCAATGGTGTTTTAATTAAAACATGTTTGATTTCAGTGTCCCAAGAAAAATAAACATATTTAAGATTATTAGCCCTTTGGTGAGAACAGATGCTCAGAGAGTTGATGACACCGGGAGCAACATCAATAGTCAATTAAAAACAAGGTAAATGGTTTTGAGTGATTTCCATTGGCTTGTTTTCTTGATGAGTAAACAAATGTTCCCAACACTGCTCAGTTGTTGTTTATCAAAGGAGTCGATGCTGAGCTTGAATTGACTGAAAAATCAATCACTATGAACAGTCTTCATGGGAAAACTACAGGCAAGAATATTTTCAAAGACACTGAGAAACATTAATTCAGTACAACTACATGTGACATCTGCTAAGACATGTCACAACCAATGGTAATTAAAGTATGTGTGGAACAGAAAAAGACTTAGTTGGACAAATTTACAAAACTGGTGAAAATATAGTTTAAAGCCTAGAAGTTTTCACTGTATGATTCAACAGCAGCTACTCTGTAGAAAACATTTGACTCCATCGTGCTACTGAGCCAGGAGTGCTGAAACCGAGTCCCCCTAACACCGAGCTCCCTTACCGAGTCTACAACTAATCTATCTAAAACTTAATTCCATTTCTTGTCCCCACGGATCTCAATCCTGTGCTAACTGAACACTAATCAACCAGAGTCAGAAGACTAAGACTGCTGTTGTCAGTAACATCGTTAATGTATTAAAACATAGCACCATTAACGTAGACCCTCGGGTTGTTTCTCCAGGGCAAGATGAGCTAACAGACCCCTGAGCCAAGGCCCGCCTAGCCAGAGAATTGTAAACCGGGGACATCCTGACCCCAGAACCACGATTAAGAAATGTCACAAGATGATGAATAATCCTAGACTCTTGGCTCTTCCCCTTAAAGAAAACCCCTCACTCAAAGACCAAGTTGGAGTGGGGCTTGTCTCCCACTTCCTTGCTAGACACCCTGCAATGAACACTGTACTTTCCTTCAGCACAATCCAGTGTCAGTACATTTGGCTTTGCTGCATGTTGGGCAAGCAGACCTGAGTTCAGTTCAGTAACAGTGTCAACAGGGACCTTCATGTACCCTTATGAATTTAACATCATCAATTCTGTGAATTTTTGTCAGAAATAGAAGCTGAATATATCTTGACTTGCCCTACCACCCAATATTTCCAGGGCTTAATAATGGTAATATTTTACTATGAATTTTTGAACTCAGGGCCAAGACTGATGTTTTTCTGAATGAGAAGAACCATTTTCAACCACAATTATCAAGCATTAAATAGCTTTGGATATTAGCTTCTGCTGCAGACTTAATGATTTTTAATCAAGTCAATCAAAAAGTATAAGGCAAAATGGCACTTATACGTAAAACTTACACTGTAGGAAAGTCATTTCAACAACAACTAACACTGTCTGAATCACAATGTCAAGCTGCTTTATACACTTCGCATGCTGTCAAAAACCAAAACAAGAAACTGGATCTCCATTCCCACACAAATTTGTGGCAGATATATTTTCCAAGCTCCGAGTGTTTTTAGGGTTTGATGTAAGTGAAAAGGAAACTTCCACGTTTCGAAATCCATTTAACTGTGTAACTGAGAGGCTTTTACACACCTTCAACTGGAAGTGACTAATCTAAAAGGTAATGATAGGCTGAAAGACAAATATCAAGAGAAAAATCTAACAGAATTCTACAAATGCTTTCCAAGAGATAAATATGCTCAAAATTATATGCACATGAACTGATACCAATATTTGGTAGGAGTTATCTGTGTGAAAAGATATTTTCAAAGATGAAATACATAAAATCTCATTACAGATCAGCATTAACAGATAAACATTTTCAATCAGTTTTGATGATAGGAAACATTATCTTTGAACTCCAACTAAGTGAAATGTTATCTTTAAAAAAGGAATGTAATTCTTCTCAGCAGAAAGTCTATATTACAAAGAAAAAATTGTATTCAATTATTTTTTTCAAATTTTTACTTCATCAATAAAACATTTGTAGAAATTTGTTTTCTCTCTTGCTCTACCTACATAACATATAATAGCCTTAGTTTTGCCTCTCGACCTGCAAATCGTAAAATATCTGTCTTTAAGAGTTTGCTAAGCTATAATTTCTCACCGTCAGTCCAGTGCCACCCCCCATAAACAACCTAATATAAGCTCATTCCACTAAGAGCATTTTAAAACTACATTTTAAAATGCATTTTAAAAAATAATAATTTTTACAAATAGAGATAATAAACAATGATTACTACTTATTCACAAAGGGCTGTTAAAGGTAATTTCTTTATATTCCTATATTATCCCCAGGGAAGATAAAAGTGATGGGTTAGGTAGCAGAAATGCAAGAACATATTATTCAATCAACTTTCAGACAGTGGTGGAGGAAATAATTCTAATCTCTCAACAATAATGCAAAGTGCAGTTGTTAAACACCATCCACATTCGTCAACAGAACGTTTCTTAACATTTTCAGGAAATGTTTGAAAGCCAATTGCTTTCTTCACACATGAGTAAAACCATTAGAAAATATTCAAATAAAAAAGCTTTTACTTCCAAAATAAGCTCTTAAGTAGAAAACAGCAATAAAGATTATTCTCAGTTGACAAGGACCCAGGCTTGCTGGAGAGTGCTTAAAATTTCAAGGACTTCCAAGTCAGCAGTACTATGAGGACACCTGCTCTCACAACCAACAGGCAGGTGAGCAGACTCCTGACCCTCCAGCTACTTGACTCAGGGGGCATGGAGAGGCCCCTCTGTTTTGCTTCATCTCGGCCTCGGTCTCTTTTAGGTTCTTCTCAGCTGGTCCATCTCTCCACACGTCCCTTCTCCTCCTCTCATCTATTTCTGCCCACCAATCTGCATCTTTAACTGGCTATCACATCTTCTGCGGAATATCACTTATCTTCCACCCCAATACAATGCTTAGGGTCTGATGCACAAGGGATGGTTTCACATTGATACAGCTAGAAAAATGTTTGGTTTCTAGTATTACCAAATTTTATTTAAGCAATATAAAGAAGATGAGCCACAGAAAGCTAAGTATCTCCACACCTGTGATCTAATTATCCTGGGGAAGGAGAACTGCTGAGAAGTTCCCCTTATTCTGAGAGACACGGGACAGATGCTCGCTCCAGGAGCTGGACGAGGCAGGGCTGATCCTAACTCAAAGTTGAGGCTCCTGCAGCAGATGCTCCCCTACCTGGATGGTCATTTGACATCCAACTCAAAACGCTGCAACTTCCCCACAAAAATAAGCCAAATGACTGCAAAGTGAAGACTCAGAAGCAGCAAAGGCTTCCACAGCGTATCCATCTAAAGTGCCCAGAATATTCTAGCCCAGTATGCAGGATGGGAGGTGAGATGGAGAAGCTAGTTTCCATGTCTATATTTTCCTTTTTATCCACACTCCCAAACAGTAGGCTTCCTTCCTTTTTATAACGTGCAAACTGGAATTGAGGCTCTAGAGTTAGGTACCACACGGTACCTAGGGGTGACTTAAACTTGGTTTAGAAGCTCTCCATAAATTAAATTAGTCCAGAAGCCACTCCAGAACTTTTCCCCTATGTGGTTTATACTCCAGGACCTATCTCTTCAACCATTCTCATACTGACATCTTTAGCTCCCCAGTCCTGCAAACCCAAACCTACTTCAGTCAAAAGGTCTGCCTCCTCCGTATCTTTACTCAGATATCTAGGCCTAAGTGGAGAAGATCCCATACTCACGGCAAAAGGCCCCATTATGAATGACTGGTCTCAGGGAACTCAGTGCTACCAAGTGATGCTAAGTTTCGCTGGTCAACCCTGCTTCTCCAAAGGCACCTTTTCAAACTTTCACCACTCTCCCCACACCTCCTACCTCACCACCTCATTCTTGGTGGGTAATCACAGTTCCTGCTTAAAAAAGAAACAGTCACACCAAAACTGCTTTCAACTTTGTGCCACAAAACCAACACACCACCTACTCCATGCTCTGCTCTCTTCCTAGTCAAAGAAGAGCCCTTCCACTTGCCTAACCTATGTTCCAGATCCAGTTTCCTCTTGTCTCCATGGAAAGTTGACTCTAGGAATCATTCCTACCATTTCTTTACATCAACCACTCCCTCTCCACTCTATTCCTTAAAAAACAAAACAAACAAAACAAAACAAACTCCTTCTCTGAAAATCTCCTTGAAAGCATTACCTATACTCACCATCTCCATCTCCCCTGCTTTAACCCACCCCACACACACCGCTCCCACCAAGGTCACCAGCAGCCTTAAATGAGCACTTGGCAGTTCTGTTCTCACTTGACCAGTAATAGACATGGTTGACCACTCAGGTCTCACTGAAAATGCTGTCCCCTTAGCTTCTGTGACAGCACACTCTTTGGGATCCCCCCCCACTCACTGCTGCTTCTCCTCCAGCAAAGAAGCCACATACAGACACAAAGATGAAGATACAAGACATAAGAAAGCCACATCTAAGCAATCAGAAATGAGGAGTTTCTCAGCATTTACGTTGCACCACCCCGAGCTGACACCACCAATTTCAGTCACTGCTGAGCTCTCTGGTCTCACCTGCTGAAACAGGAGCTCCTCTGCTTTAAGCTTCTCCATAATTTCCTGCTCCATCAAAGCTAGTTCTCTTTCACGCTCCAACTGGGCCATTTCCTCTTGTCTCTAGCATTGTTTAAAAAACAACATCAAGTGACTAATTAGAGCTAAAACCATTTGTAAAAACAATCTTGAAAGCGTCTTCATCTCTAATGATAGGGAAAGGATTAAACAGATTATAGTCTTTCCATTTGGAAACTGTAATAATAATCTGGAGAGACGTGTATTTCATTTAAACAAAAAGCATGAAATTAAATTACACATTGAATATGATCACAAATATGTAGAAAAAAAATCTCCAGACAAATGTGTAGAAAAAAACGCCTAGAAGAAAATACCTAAAAATCTAAACAGAGATCTTCTTTGGATATTGTTTTCTTTTTTCTACTTTTTCCTGTTGTCCAAGTTTTGTATAATAAGCATACTATTTTTATACTAGAAAGAAATGATAATACGGAAATTTTTTTAAAAAGTAAAGAGGCTGGACCAATTATTTTACCCTTCTAATTTTATAAAAGAAAATCCACACGTACCAGTTGTTCCATGGTCAAGTTTTCCTTATACTTGTATATCCACAATGCTAAGTATTCTATTGGATCCACTGGGTGCATCCTTGCCACTTCTGCAAGACCCAGAGTTAGACATGTCCCAAGATTCTTTTGAAGATACGCTGACTCCATTTCTAACTGCTAAATAAAAACTTCTAAAAGATGAACGTTTTGCATTAGTGCAGGAAATTTTCAATTAAGGCACAAAGTAGAGTGCAATGAAGCCAGCAAAGCATTACCTCCTGTCACAAGTCATGGGCACCTCCCATCAGGGATGGCATAAGCCAGCTGGCTCCAGGAAACTCCTAGCAGTTTCCAAAAAGTCTCCACAGAAGTTGCTACAACTAAGGCAGTTTCCAAATCTTGAAGGACCCTCAGTTCCAAGAATCAGAAAATGGAGATTGTCATGATCGACTGTGAGATGACTATATGGCAAGCCAAGCGTGTTTCACTCAATCCTTACAACACAGTTGAAATGGTATCATCAGTCCCTCAGATGAGGATGCCCAAGCACAAAGAGGATTAAGTGGTCAGCCCAGGATCACACAAGTGGCACATGGTGAAATGAAATTCATACTCAACTTCTAATTCCAGAGTCATTACCCTAAATGATTTACTAAGAGGCCCTCCTGAGCAATGAGTCATTTTTAGAAAACACCATGACAGTCCACCTCAACAGCAACAACAAGTCCATGAATCTCATGGCCAAAGAATACGAAACCTCAAAAGAACAGCTCATGAAGCTCCTCAGGCTCTGGCCCCACTTTTCTTCCTAGGCTCACCTCCAGATATCCCTTCTGCCTCCTATGTACTCTGGGCTCTAACTACACACAGCATCCTGCCATTCTGCTGATCACACCTTGCACATTTCCATCTCCATGACTTTTGCACATGATTACCCCCTCGGTTTCAGCCTGGAAAATATCTCCTCACCTGCAAGACATCAAGCATCTCTCATTCCCCACTGCTCTGGCTAATACAATTGTCTCCTAGGCAACGCAAAGATGTTCCTCGTTCCCTAAGCAGCTCACACACACAACCTGTCACACTATCAGAGCATTACCTGTGTACGCACATGTCCATTCTCCCACTGGAAGGTAAGTTCCTCTAGCTCCTCAAGGAGTGTGTTTCAATCACAATGCTGACACAGCTGGCTCCCCATGGTGGTGAGTGAATGAGTCTTTCCATTCTCCCAGTAATGTCCTAGTCTATTCAGTTATGAACATGGACAGAAGTAATCTTAGATGAGAGAGAGAAAGAAAGAGAGAGAGAGAGAGAAAGAGATGCAGCAGCCACTCTATCTCAGGTGCTTTGACAAAATGAATCATCTTGTGATCAGTTTTTTTAACACAATGTTTGTTGAATGTATTCACTATTCAACCAATATAGATTGAGTACTTATTATATGTCAGCATGAGCAATGATAGTGGAAAGAATGCCAGTGTGTCTAGACCTGTCCCTGGACAAATGCACCCAACATTCTGAGTAAAACTTCATGAACAATGACCTCCTGAGTTTCATCCATAGACCCCTAATAGTGCTCTTTCTCATACGATGGTGGCAGAGTACAAAATGGTGTAACTCCATGGAGAAGAATTTGGAAAATCTAGAAAGTTACATATGCATTTACAATTTAACCCATCAGTCTCACATCTAGGATCCTATCTTGCAAAAATCTGAAGTGATATATGCACAGTTACTCTGCACCTTTACTTAGAAGAGCCAAATTGGGGTCCCATCCAAATGTTTATCATTAAAGGACTGATGAGCTACAGCAACAAAATGGATTAATGTGTGGCTATAAGAGAGAATGAGGAAGATCTCCAAAATAGAGAGTGAGCTCTAGGACATAATGTGAAGTGGGGAAAAAAAAAAAGCAAGACGCAGAAATTGCATATACTATGCCACCTTTTGTATTAGCAACAGCAGTGGGGAAAGGAATGTGTGCGTATATATAAATGTAGTCATAAAAGCAAATTCTAAAAACTGGCACAAATGAACCTAATTTCCCTTATCAAGCTGACACTGGTGTTTTAACCACACAGAGAACAGAATGATTACAACTGAGTATGGAACACAGTATCTTCGTTGTATTTCTTCCATGGGATAATATTGGAAACTCAAAAACAACTACATTGACAGCTCAATGTCATTTGAAGCGGAGTAACATTTAAAAAGAGAATAGGTTCCTTGCTGCTGTTGCTGCCCCAGAAAGACTGCTACAAGAGGTCCGTGGTCGGTAAGGGAGAAACTTCAGATGCAGGATTGGTCTCAGACCTACGCGCATAGCATCGCATTATGAGAGGAACCCAGGTGAAACTCGGAACCCAGGTGAAACTCGTTAACCTCGCTTGGCTTTTTTTCCACCCATGAACTGGCTACAAAACCCATCTCAAAAGCCTGTGGTAAGGAATATTATTTTTCACCGATAGGCATCTTGGCTCAACGTAAGAAAACCCCTACCCACAAAAACAGCTGCCTCAAGCCTGGAGAAGCTATCACAAGAAATAGAGGTTCCTGAAATTGCTCTAAAAGAATAAAGTCTATTAAAAGAGAGAGAGAGAAAATAAAATAAAATAAAATAGCTCTTCATTCGCAGAAAAACAAACAAATCAAGAAATAGAGGTTCCCGCTCATGCTTGGGAGAAAGCCAGCCAGCTAGAGTGCGAAAGGCAGGGTTGCCACAATTTAGCAAATAAAAATACGGATGCCCAGTTAAATTTAAATTTCAAATAAACCACAAATGATTGTATCATACTATACCTGTACTAAAAAGTGATTCCTTATATCTCTTTAATTTAAACTTAACTGAGTATCCCGTATTTTATCTGGCAACCCTGGATTCCGGACCCTTCGTTTGCTTTCTACCCGGAGTCCGCCTCCCCGGCCCACTCCACCAGACGCGGCGCCGCTCACCGAGGGGGAAGAGGAGCCAGGCGCTGAACTAACCTTCCTCTCGGCTTGGGGAGCCTGGGCATCGTCGCCTGAGTCCTACACCACTCCGAGGTCCAACGGCCAAAACCGCCTCTCCCCGCCGGAAAGCAGCCCAGCACCAGGAACCGGTCTTCCCAAACCGCACCTGCGCTCTAGATGCGCGCGCCGGACGCATGCGCCCATCACGAGTCGCGTCCGGTCGCTAGGCAACGAGCGAGCATGCCCCAGGTACGGGAGACGGCCCCCTGCAAAAAAGGGGCGCGCGAGTTTCGCTGAGCAGAGGGCGGGGGACAGAAAAGATTCAGCAGAGAGGTGAGGGCGCGCGAAGTGTGCAGGGTGCCCGCTGGAGCAGGGAGCACCAGGGTAGGTGAGTAGAGACATGCAACCTAGAGGCTGTGAGGAAGGGGCAACCCAAAAGAGAAGTGGAGCGGGGCTGGCAGGCGTGTGCACACTAGGAGAGAGAAAGGGCAAAGGGCTGGCCTGGGGTGAGAGGTACTGCAAAGGCTGCCTGTGGGTGAAGCCCCCACAGCCTTGAGTCAGAGGAGACTGTCCTACATGGTGACCTGGTATTTTCCTGACTTAGCATCTTTGCACTTGCTGGGGACCTCTGCTTGGGTCCTGCCCACTGGGGGGTGCGGGGGGTGCACAATGTGAGAGCTGTCCGTTCAGTTTTATTTGGGGACTTAACTGAGAACTAGAGCCCTAGAGACAGCTGCTCTTTTTTGGAAGAGGTAAGCTGGGAGGTCAGCATATATGTGATTTTGGAGCAGGATTACCCACAATCAAATACATATCTAGGTAGAAGGTTCCTGCTAGTACACTAGGCACAGGTATGCTAGTTAATGATTTTAGAGCTTTTCTAAGTATGGGAAGATGAAAAAATTGAGTTTATAAAAATTTCTCCTGAAAATATCTAACTATCTGAAGGCCTTTTCTGTCAGTTTTCCCAGAGCCTCATTCATGATCTCCACCCTGAATTCCTTTCAGGGTGTGTTAATGACTCAATTAACCGTAGTGGCTAGTAACTCAATCCCCGTAGAGCCAGATGGCCAGCAACACTGACATTCTGTAGTTGGTATTTCTTTCGAAATGAGCACAGGTGCCCCCACCTCCAAGAAGCCTCCCACCCTCTTGTCAAGCCCGAGCCATTTGCAGTCTTCCCTGGCCTAGTCATTTGTGCACAGTATTCAGCTGGCATTTCCTGTTTTCTCTGTTAATTTATGTGTGGGTCAGTGCTGGGCAGGAGATGCTCACTAAACGTTGGTTAAGGTAATAAGTGCCAGCGTGGGCGCTGCCAGAGGGAAGGGAGCATGAGCCCACAAGCATCAGAGCTCTCCCTAATTAAATCAAGAAATATTTGCTGAGCATCTACTATGTGCCCAGCACTAGACATATAGTACGAATAAAGACAATCTCTATACTTACCACCCCGCCTCCTGAATACAAGGCCATGAGCAAGGAGGACCAGGATAAGCAGACCCTCAGAGCAGCTCTGGGAAGCTCTGAAAAACAGCCCCCTCCTCATTGGTGAGTGTGGCCTGAGATAGTGGGGAGTAGGCTGTAAAACTGATCCCTTTGGCTCCTCCCTCTCCAGACCTCACATGGTGGCTCTGTTTTTCTGGCTCTACTGTTTTCACATCAAGTCTTAATAACGGCCAGGTCAACAGATTTTGTTGAGATCATTATTGAAAACGAGCCGTTTAGAGAAGATGCTTTCTCCAGAAAGGGTCTGCCACACCTACTGCAGTGTGGCGGCCACCCAACACCAGGCAGTGAAGAGGCTTCCTGGGAATACAGAGTTGGTGATTCTGCCCTCTGGGAAGGGCAGTTCTATGATGATAAAGACAAGCAGACCTGTAACTGTGTATCACCTGGGGATTTTGTTACAATGCTGATGCTCAATCTGTAGGTCTGGGGTGGGACCAGAGAATCTGCATTTCCAGATGATGCACTGCTGCTGATTGTGGACCACTCGCTGAGTAGAAGGGGTGTAGAAGATACTTTGTTCAGGTGCATTGGTTCAGATGGGTCACAGATTGGCAGAAGGCATCACCACACCTCCCCATCCCCACCCTCCATCACTACCCCAAACTTAGTGAGTTTAAACACACATTTATTGTCGGACAGTTTTCGAAATCTGAAACACAATGAGTCTTTCAGGGCTAAAACCAAAGTGTCAGCAGGACTAATTCCTTCTGGAGGGTTTAGGAAGAATCCTCTTCCTTGTCTTTCCAGCTTCTAGAGGCCACTTGTGCTCCTTGGCTCATGACCCTGCATCCCATCCCCTTTTCTCCCTCTGCTTCCATCAGCACATCTACTTCTACCCTATCTGATCTTACTGTTTCCTTCTTATAAAGACCCTTGTGATTACATTGTGCCTACCTGGATAATCCAGCATCATCTTCCCAAATCAAAATCTGTAATTTAATCACATCTGCAAAGTCCCCTTTGCCATAGAAGGTAACATATTTCATGGGTTCCATGTATTAGGATGTGGACAACTTTGGGAGCCATTATTCAGCCCTACCACACTGTGTATCCCCTAAGGACAAGGACATTTTGTTAGTCATATTTCAATCACCAAACCCAGGAAGTTTCACCTTGATGTAGTTCTACTATGTAATCTACAATTCACATTCAGTTTTCCCAACAACATCCTTTATAGAATTCTATTTTCTGATCTAGATCCAATCCAGGATCAATTTTGCCCGGAGTTAGGACTGTTTAGACTCCTCTGATCTGGAATGGTGCCTTATCTTTTTTTTATCTTTCATGATCTTGTCATTTTTAAGAGTTGCAGACCCTCTCAATTTGACTTTGATGTTTCCTCAATCAGATTAAAGTTTTCCACCTGGGGCAGGAATCCATAGAAATGTGTTATGACCCACTAAGAAGTGCATCACATCAGGAGACATGTGACATCATTTTGTCCCTTTATTGGCAATGTTTACTTTGATCACTTGGTTGTGTTGGGTTTCAGCAGTGTAAAGTTTCTGTATTTCCTTTTGGAATTAATAATTTGTGGGAGAAACTTTGGGAATACACGAATATCGTATTCTCTGTCAACTATTCAGCAAGTTTTAGGGTTCATTTATAACTGTTTTATACTATCATGTGATTACAAAGTTATTTTTTAAGTCCATTATTCTTTCCACATTTATTAACTGGCATTTTACTTTAAGAAAGAACTTGCCTTCTTTCCCTTTCATTTATTTATTCTTATATGGACTCATGGGTTCTTATTTTGTTCAATTGGTTATAATCCTTACAGTCATTATTAATTTTGGTGGCCAAATTGCCCCAGATTTGGCCAGTAACAGCCCCTTCAAGCTGGCTCCTGTGTCCCCAACCATTTTATTTTTTAAGCATTTTCTTACTTTCTGGGTCAACAAAATGTTCCAGGTTTATTGGCCTCTTCCTGCCCTGACCTTGGAATTAGTCATTTCTCCAAGGAACCCTGATTCCTTTTAAGTGGTGAAGGCTTTTTAAAAGCAAATTCTGTGTGTTCATTGCTCTGAGGTGTTTTTGCTTCTAGACCTTTGAAGTGGAAAGAGCTAGGAATTTTTTTGGGTCCATTTCTATCTATCTGTCTATTTATCTTTCCCTCCTTAAACTGAAAAATACCTCCGGAAAATGTTAATGTTGGATCTAAGCCTTTATTATTCACTTTATTATTAGCTCTTTTGGAGTTAAGGTATGTAAACTTCAGGAATATGGAGATGGTCAAGAACAGATGGGGGGCTAGGCCATTTCATGCCACAGTCTTCCCCTGTAATAGCTAATATTTATTAAACACTTACTACGTGCCAGGATGTGTACTTTACCTGTATTTATTATCTCTTTTAATCCTAACATTTGTGAGATACACACTTTTGTTGCTCTGTTCCACAGATCAGAAAACCTAGGCTCAGAGAGACTGGGTAACTTGTTGAAGGCCACACAGCTAATAAATGGCAGACAGGACTGGACCTTGGTCTGTCTGATCCAGGAGCCTGCGTTCCTACTGCTGCACTACACCTCCACTCCTAATTTATGGTCTAACTGAAGCTTCATTCCCTCCAGGTCATAATATCTGATTAAGGGTAAATCAGGGGCTCAACTCAACCTAAAGCAGTTTCTTGCTTAAGCAGTAAAGAGTGGAATGTCATGTCAAGTGCTGGCAGAGCCCCTGGCCAGCAGTAAGTAGCTACAACGCCTGGCATTTTCCCTCCTCAGGGCTTCTCAGTGGTCCCTTGTGAGATATATAAGCCTGTTTTATCTATGTCATAGATGACTGAGCCTCCAGCCTCACAATAGCACAGTTTGCTGGGTGCTAAAAGCCCCTCTCAGGACCTCCTGCCTGCTCAGTCACTTCCTCCCCACTCAAGGATAGAAATGTGTGGGTAAATGGAGGCCTCAGCCACTCTTAAACACCAATCCACCAAGCTCCTCTCAGGCCTGATAATCCCCAGGACCTAGTTTCTGACCTAGGACAGCTGGAGAGCTTTAGAAAAAAAAGTCCATTTGAATATAAGAGCTATTGGCAAGCACACATGTATTTACTGGTTCTTTGGGGAAGGGTGGGCTCTGGAAACATCTCATATTTATCCTAAAGTGAATCTGCACTGGTCAGAATGTGTCTATTTTTAAAGTCCCATTAGATTTGTGAAGTAGTGTGACCCTGTTTTGATGTTTCCCAAGCCCACCAGGATGGAAACTGAATACCTGAAGAGGTGTTTTGGGAATTGCCTGGCCCAGGCACTGGCAGAGGTGGCAAAGATTCAGCCCAGTGACCCCATCGAGTATCTGGCTCACTGGCTTTATCATTACAGGAAAACAGCGAAAGCGAAAGAAAAGGTAGGTGTGTGTGCTGGGTTGGCTTGGGGAGGGCTTTCCAGCTTTCCTAGAGTGAATAATCTAAAGTCCAAGGCAGGATTCTGGAGCTGGCCTGGGGAGTCTCTTGGTTTACTCCACTTGTGAGGATGGCGTAGGTCCTGAAGTGCAGGGAGCCTGGGGGCTAAAGATGGAACTCAGAGGACTTGTGGAATGGTGGGTTGGGAGCTACCAGCCCGCTAAAGCTAGTGAGTTATAGGAGCAAACCCAGGAGGCCTGAAGGGCCCGGGGCCTGTGGTCTATCCCAGGGAGGGGTCCGTGCTTCCGGGGGCTGCCCTGATTCCACTCTGTCACATCACCCCAGGAAAGGCAAGAGAAGATCCAGCTGCAGCAAGAGTATGATAATAGCCTCGAAGAAACCAAAATGGCAGAAATGCTGAAGCAGGAAGAGTACGAGATTCAGCAGAAGTATGAAAGGTGTCACCAGGTAGGGAGGAGGAGCTCCGCGTTGGGCACACACACATCCCAGGGTGGGTACTGGGAAATCCACAGGTCAGCTCAGCCACAGGGCCACGGGCATAGAGGCTCGCATCAGCCTACTTGTCCCTCCGTATTCATATGTTTACATGTAAATCATTCTTACTGACAGTCCGTGTCAATGAAGAAAAGAAAATCCTTAAAGACAATTCCATTTTAGATTGCAAGGAATACCTTAGATGTTACTAGTTTTAAAAAATCAGATTTTAAAAATATCTAATGCATCAGTTGGAACAAATATATTTCCACACAAGATCCTTTGAGCCCTTTTCAAAAATTAATATTTTTCTGAAACCAAATATGGTTACCAGTATATACTTCAGGTATATTATCTTATTATATGCTATTTACGTAAGATTTTATTTAATATATGCCATTTGTTTATGGATCAAGCCATAGATGTCTTCTCTGTGATGCTCTAATAGTGGTCATGAATTATTAACTTAGAAGAACCAGTAAGTCTAATCTTTTTAAAAAATTTTTTTACATAAAATATTCTTGCATCTCAGGTAGAAAACAAAACAAATTGCCTTTCCATTATCACAGTAACTATCTGAAATAAATAAGGAATAAATTATACAAATCACAGTATTTCATATTTCTTTGCCAATAAATGGTTTGTTCTTCCCAGCCCCACCCCACCATTTTTTTTCTTTCACTCTATAATTTTATTTTTTTTAACTGAAGTGTAGTCAGCTTACAATATTGTATCAATTTCTGGTGTACCCCATCATTTTTTATAAAAGAACATGGCTACCTAACCCATGGTAGAAGAGTCGACCTTCCTCTAGCACAGTGGTCCTCAGATGGAGGCACTGTTTTCTCCCAGGTGGGGTGACCAGTGAGTGGTCCAAGTTTGCCCAGGACTTTCCTGATTTTAGCACTGAAAGTCCGTGTCCTGGGAAACCCCCTAGTCCCAGGTATACTAGGGCTGTGGGTCACCCCACTTGTAGGGGACATTTGGCAGCGTCTGGAGACATTTTTGGTTTTCCAGCTGGGGTATGTGTGTGTACTGCTGCCATTCTATTGAGTAGTGGCCACAAGTGCTACTAACGTCTTACGACATGCAAGACAGCTCACTACAACAAAAAATATCAATTGTGCTAAGGCTGAGAAACTCTGCTCTGGCATTTGACTACTCAAAGTGTGATCTTTGGACTGGCAGCTTGGGCATGATGGAGAAAACTGTTGGAAATGCAGAATCTCGGATCCCACCCGAACCTGACAAATCAGGACTGGTGACATTTAGCGAGCTCCCCAGGTGATCTGGATGCACATTGAAGTTTGGGAAGTGCTGCTCTATACACTCATTGTTTATTCTGATTGTCAGCATGAACGTATGGTTTTCCACGGGCTCCAAGAGCTCTGATTAATTACAGAGCTGATTTCTCATTGAGACCCAGTGTCACCACGGGGTCACCAAGAGCCTCTCTTTCCAGGCTGACTCCTCTACCCAGAGGCTCCTGAAAGCACTCTTGACCTCTGATAACAACACGTCTCAGATCCATCTTCTGCTCTCCTGCACACAGGAAGGAATCTTCTCCTTTTTGAAGAGACCTGTTTCAGATCTTGTTAGTGGAAAACAATATTGAGAGACCAAAAGCAGGCCATGGGTTGGTATATCTGAGCACTCTGGAGAGAGCAGTGAGACACTAGGCAAGAGGTTAAATAAATAAATCTTCCCCTCAAAAGAAAAAAAATGGCACTCAAGTAAGTGTGAGTGCAAGGTCCTCCAACAGAATCCTATACAATTAGTGGATAAAAGAAATGAAAGGAACAATTGAGAAAGACACAGTTTTTGCTTTGTAGTCAGACACTCTTCTTTAACCCTTCATTTTCAAGGGCACTAGTGCCATGTATCACTCATAGTTTTAGTTTTGAACTCTATTTTCTTAGAGACCTTTGTACAGTTACAGAAGAAGTACAGCAATGCAGAAATCCAAATTGAAACAGTCAATGAAATGTGTTAGGAGACACAACCACATTAATATTAAGAATCATCAGAAGTAGAGAGTTGTTCTGATGGGTGGCATGTGTTTCAACGGAATCATTTTAAAATGAGGGTGGGAAGTAATGATTTGGGAGCAGGAACTGGAGGTCTGAAGAATTCGAGCGCTGCTGGAAAGGTAGGGTCCTGGGGAAACACCCCATTTCTACTGAGGCAGGAAGTGAATTCTGCTAACAACCAATGAGCTCGACGGATGACCTTGAGCCTCAGATAAGATTGTGGCCCCAGTCAACACCTTGATTTCAGCTTGTGAGACCTTGAGCAGAGACCCCAGTTGATTGATGCCTGGATTTTACTGTGAGATAACAAATAGGTGTTGTTTAAAGCTACTAGTCTGTGTTCATTTGTTACACAGTGATAGAAAATTAGTACATTAAGCCTTCTATGTTAAAATACGGAACAGCGGGTGCTTAGTCTTTTCTCCACCCTGGCATGCCAGAAGGAATTAAACACAAGAGTATCAGTGACAGTGGGTCATCATGGCAGTTTCCCTAGGGATGGAAGGGGTTGTCTTAAGAAGTATTCGTTTGTTTCTATTCACCTGTGTTGTCACTCACTGCTGCAAATGATTTAGGCATTTTCTCTCATTTCTGCTCATATGAAAACACAAAATTAAGATGAAGTTACCTTGTGGCCCTCCATTGATTTCTTGCTATCACTCAATGGCTCTTTGATAATGAAGTTTTCCTGGCCATCCTGTACGCTGTCTTCCTCAGATGCCCACTGAGTCAACTGGCTTTATCCCGCAAGAGTTTACTTGACATAGTTGAACTCATTAACACGACACACCAGCCAAATACCCCTGTGCCAGGATCATCTGGAAAGATGGAAGAGGAGAGCACAGTATTAAAATGATTTTCAGTTGTATTTTGAAACAGCCCGCATTTTCACTGATATTACGACACTGTTGGGTTTCCATGTCCTTTTTATATTTAATACCCAATTTTGTAATCTTAAAGGAAAACATGATGTTACACAATTTCAGCTGAAGCATCATTAGAAAGTAAGAAGTGATTCTAAGTTCTTGGGCCTATTCTGTGTCCTGGGTGGACTGAGAGTGTCCCTGTATCCTGGTAGGCTAGGGGAGTGGACACTAGCCCCTGGCCAGTAACTGCCAGTCCCACTACAAACCTGATTTCACTTTTAAAGGAATCTTTTAAGGGAATATTTGTAATAGCTTTCTAACTCCAGGGTGGCCTTGTCCTACCACACAGCATACACTTCATTTTAATATTGGTTTTAAAACACAGCTAAAAACCTAGGTTTGTTTCTGGGACAGAAGAAAAAGAAAAAGATGCTCTTCTGAGCCAAACATTATTGTCGCTAATGTCCAAAAGTGTCTCCCACAAGATGTCAGATCTTTAAAATAAACTTGGAAATAAGTACTGATTTGCCATTTTCAGAGCCAAAATTCAGAACTTCTCAAGCCCCTTCAGATGATATACAGAAAGTTTCACCCTCTGCTCTAGCATCTCGCAGAAAAGCCAGGGCTGAGCTGGGATCTTTGGATTTCCTTCAGGCTGAGGGGAAGGGGCAGTGGCTCAAGGCTGCCCTGTCTTGTGGCATCACCCTGCCTTTCCCTTTCATAAGCACTATACACTTAGCACACCCACACCTGCTCTTCCTTGTGTCTTTTTTTTTTTTTGCCTTTTTTTGGGGGGGGTGGTAATTAGGTTTATATATTTATTTTTGATGGAGGAACCGGGGATTGAACCCAGGGCCTCATGCATGCTAGGTATGTGCTCTACCACTGAGCTGTACCCTCCCCAGCACTGTGTCTTTATTGCAGGAAAACCCACCACCATCGTCATGCGACTGAAGCTAGAAACCTGGCAGCCATCGTGGATTTCCCCTGCCTCCACCCTCCTCATCTTATTCAGTAACCAAATTCTCGAGTTTACTTTAAAATTTTTTCTTGCATCACATGAGGCAGTACAGGGTAGTGGTTAAACACCAAGAGTCTAGAATACTAGAAAGGCAGATCCCAGCAGTAAACTGAATTATTGTCTGTAACACATTTCTACCTCTCTTATCTGAAAACAAGAAAGAATTTTCCATAGAAATATCATTCTAAGTGATACTAGGTTACTGGGCTAGCCTATAGCAGCCTGTTCAGACCATAATGTTTATGAATGGTGGTCAGGACTCCCACTCTCTGGGGCTCTGTGGAGAGCCCATTTCCAGCTCAGACCTGGGCTAGCCATCCACACCTGTGAGCAAAGAGGGGACACCACAGTAGCAGTGGGCTCCCAAGTTCTGAGCATTTTCCTTAATCCTGGCATATGTGGGGTCCTATATGTGGCAGCGTTGGATTGATTTCTATGTGTGAGTGATGGGGAAGGCCAGTGGAAGCGCTTATCCACCCTTGAGAGGGTAGTAGTGTGATAGACTTTGATAGACTTGAGCTGCCCACGCTAAGGCCTGGCCTTATGGTTGGAGAAGACAAGGCCATGAGGGCAGCAGCTCTGGCTGGAGCAGGGCTGGCTTCATGCATGTGCAACCTGTAAAGTCACACAGGAACCACATTTGGAAAGGCTGCACCCTTGGTTTGATGCACTGCTGTCACCATCTTGACGTACAAAAGTTTGAACAAGGCAGCCTGCATTTTCATTTTGCACTGGGCCCTGCATATCATGTAGCCAATCCTGGGCTAGAAAAGAAAATACTCTTTTGAATAATTAGTACCTGGTGATACCACTGTTATATTTTTATGTAGACTGTAAATATTTTTCAAGAGGTTGAATAATACCCTGTGTGGAGGGGGATAAACCCCCCTTTTCTCTCTTTGGAACAAGAACAGGAAGAATGACTTTGGGGGAACAAATGCAAAAGCTGTGATATCACAGATATTTTCAGCATATGAGAATGAAATGGCTTAAATCAACTAAAAACGTGGCTATAAGAAGATACTTGTCAGCAAAGAAAAACTGGCGAGTGACTTTCCAGGCAGGATTAAAATTTATGATTTGTACGAAGAAAGTTCAATGCTTGAGCCAACACTTCCACCAGGATGACTTACAGCTGAGTCCCGCTGCATGTCTCAGTAAAGGGAAGGTTCTCTGGGTCTTTCTGTTTTCATATTCGAGTTCTATTTGTCAAGAAGAAACCCATTCTGATGCCTTTCAACCAAAGGCAAGTACAAACATCCTAGAGGGAAGAAGGTCCCAGGAAGTGCTCCCAGAAAGCAGACCTTTGGAAGCCATGGTCAGAAGTCATCCTGACACTAGATGGAATCTCTTGGGTCTATCCTCCTCGAAGAAATTTTTAGAAAAGAAGAAAAAGATTTATTGCCTTTGTCAAAAAGGATGACCTCCAGGACTAAAATGACAGCATCCAAAGATATTGTCTAAAAATATCCCACTTGTAGATAAGTTTAGCCAAAGTGAAACGGAACAATCAGAAATATCAGGAGAAATACAGTTCACAGATAGGGGTTGTTGGGGCAAAAATTGCTCCACAAGAGGCACCAGAAAAGAAGAGCCCACGTATACAATGCCAGAGGGAGAAACTGATCAGGAACCATTGCCCCTAATGATGAAATACGTGTCTTATCTTCAGCCAGACTGCAATTAATCCCCATTGCCCCGAAAAAGTCACCACTGGGGACATATTCCAAGACCACAATGGGCCAGAATGAATTACTTCCAGTTCATTTGTCTGAAAAACAAACTACATGGATGCAACTAGCTGAGGTGACTGTGCAAGAATTATCACTAGGGGAGATAAATTCTGCAGATGAGCCCGGCCAAGGAAAACCCTCATGAATAATGGCCGGTAGCACGCAATTTCATGAGCAAAGTTAGCCAGAAAACTTCCTCAGTATTCATCACTGTCACAGTCAGTCCTTAAAACCAGTGTTTATGAGACTCCTCAGAAATCAATTGCTGAATAAAAAGATTCTATGAATAAAACTAGCCGCAAAATAATTAGTCCAGGAGGCCTGAGCTCCTTGGATAGGGATATTTAAGAAATGGCTCTTCAAAAACCAATGCTTAAAAAAATATATATATAAAATACATATTAAGTTAATTAAATATATATTTATATATATAATTTTTTAAGGATAACTAAGGCACACTTTCTTAAGTGACATCAACTGATATTACATCAGTGAACAAATGTAAATGGGACCCAATTTCCCAAGCAGTTCCGTCATGGGAGTTATCATGGAGAAAAGAGATTGACCAAGACATGATTCCTCAAAAGTCTATTCTGGAGCATTTCAGTCAAACTGACATAAATCCAGAGGGAAATTCCCCAACAATTTTGGTCTGAAAGAAGCACTGCCAGGGATACATTTAGAATACAGTTACCGAGAAGATGCCCTTAGAAAGAGAAGCTTCCACCAATAGGATTGGCCAGAATAGAAGATGTTCAGAAAGTTCATACAGAAAAGTAAATAATGCCCAAAGATCAAGATGTTTCAAACAAAACTCTCAAAAGAGGCAGAATCTGAAGAATGGTTTGTTGACTCAAAGAGAAATGATAAAACTAAGAAAATCTTGAAATCCATAGAAATTAAACCATTGTATAAGGGCAAGCCCCAGGGTAGGGGTCGTTCGGATTACTCTTCAGAAGTAGCCAGGTTTACCTAAGAGGTGCTTCAGGGTAATAGCCCTGAGATCATGCCTTTGGGCACATTGGTACCTATCACCAGATCCTTTCAAAACAAAACATCAAAGAAATGTCACTGTCATGGGTAAAGCTACCAAACCAAAAAAACAAAACAAACAAACAAAAAAACCACCCTTAAATAAAGAACAAATTTCTCAGCAAATGTCATCACAAATAATAGGATGTAAGTCTAGTCAGATAATGCCATCTGGAGATAAAGAGATTCAAGCATATGATTAGTCAGGATAAAAACCTTGCCAGCAGTCCTTCAGGAGAGGAACAAAGGCATGCTTTGAGCCAGGGAATTCTCCCCAGCAAATGCTGTCAGGAACTCTATGGAGAGGATCCAACTCAGGCAAGTTCCCTGGCAAACATTATCCGAAGGAAGAAAATCTTCAGAAAAAAGTAGCCAAGACAAAATGTATTAGGAATCAGGAGCAGTTTGGAGCAAGGCTGAGCTGAGAACTGAGCTCGCGCTGCCACGTGCTTGTGGCCCATCAGAAAGAAGCGCTCGGCCCACCCCACCCCCCGCAGAAATTACCTCTACTGAGGCGAACTCCATTCTCTCAACTAATTCCTTTTCAGGAAGAAGAGATGGCCAAGGTGAAGCCAATCCAGGCCAGTAGTGCCCCGATGTCATCTTGTAGCGCAAACCCGGCAGTCAGGGTCACCCACGTTACAGCTTCAGCAGCTCTTCCCTCTGTAGTCTATGACCCATTTCTGAATAGCCTTGAAGGCATGAAGATTTTCTCCGCTTCAAGGTTAATTTGCTTACCTTTAGGGCTTCAAGAAGAATCTTTTCAGAAGTTTTCACAAGAGCTAACTCCAGACTAAGAGTAGCAAAGATGGTACCTCTCAGCAAACAGAAATGAAAGTCACAGCATCCAGGAGTGAGGTCAGTCAGGATGAAGTGACCCAAGAAACAACTCCCAAAGACTTTCCGTCTAAAAGTAGTAAAGTTCCCACAGTGTTTCTTCCTTCAGAGGCAAGACAGCACGTCAGAGGGGATGTTTACCAAACTGCCACCAGTTGTTGGTGGTAAAGATATTGGAGGTAAAGCTGGTTAACAGACACCATTAAGAAGAGCTAAAAGAAGTGTCATCACAAGAGGCAAATATACCCTGGAGGCTGTTCGTCAAAACTGAATTGCTCCTTTTACCGTACTACCAGTCTGAGTCAAATTCCTTTTTGAAAGTGGTTATTTTATAACTTTTCCACCATGGTTGAGGGATATCCCTTAGACACAAAAACTGATGGTGAAATTATCTCCAAAGCTATTTCTGAAGAGATTTTCAACCAAAAATATAGTAAAATATCAGGTCAAAAGATCCGTCAAATACTTAAACACCAGAAGAAAAAGACAAATGACTGCATTGGTACCTAATGGATAAATGAGAGGAGCACAGCCCCTCAGCTCAATGAATAACGGAGACAAAATAAAAACAAAGAATTGATGATAAAATAATCCAAAGAATGGGCAGAAGACCTAAACAGATATTTCTCCAATAAAGACATACAAATGGCACACAAAAGGATGCTCAATATTGCTAATTATCAGAGAAGTGCAAATCAAAACTACAATGAGGTATCACCTCACACCAGTCAGAATGGCCATCATTAAAAAGTCCACAAATGATAAATGCTGGAGAGGGTGTGGAGAAAAGGGAACCCTCCTACAGTGTTGGTGGGAATGTAATTTGGTGCAGCTACTATGGAAAACAGTATGGAGATTACTTAAAGAACTAAAAATAGAGCTACCATACATCCAGCAATCCCTGGCATGTATCTGGAGGACACTCTAATTTGAAAAGATACATGCACCCCAATGTTCATAGTAGCACTATTTATAATAGCCAAGACATGGAAGCAACCTAAATGTCCATGGACAGATGACTGGATAAAGAAGATGTATTATATGTATACAATGGAATACTACAAGCCATAAAAAATATAATAATGCCATCTGCAGCAACATGCTTGGATCTAGAGATTATCATACTAAATGAAGTAAGTCAGACAGAGAAAGACAAATATCATATGATATCACTTACAAGTGGAATCTAAAAAAATGAGACAAATGAACTTATTTACAAAATAGAAGATGACTCACAGACATAGAAAACAAACTTATGGTTACGAAAGGGGGGATAGAGATAGGAGTTTGGGATCAGCAGATACAAACTACTATAAACAAAATAGATAAACAACAAAGTTCTACTGTACAGCACAGGGCACTGCATTCAATAGCTTGTAATAATCTATAATGAAAAAGAATATATATAAATGTATAACTGAGTCACTATGCTGTACACCAGAAACTAACACAATATTATAAATCAACTATACTTGAATAAAAAAAATTTTAATTGATGATAAGATTGGTCAATTTCTACTTGATTTTCACCTCAAGTGAATTAATTGAAAAGCAAGCAGCATAACCTAAGGATTAAGAGCGAGAATTTTGGCCTCCACAAGCCCTGGGTGCAGATCCAAGCCCTGGCACTTACCGACTGAATGGCCATGAGCAAGTTACTTAACTGCTCAGTGCCCCACGTGCCTTCCCCCCCTAAAATGAGGATACTAATAAGCTTTACTATGTAAAGTTTTTTGGGGGATTTCCATGAGGCAAGTGGAAATTCAAGTGCTCAATAAACAGCAGTTATTGGCCATATCTCTCCAGCTTAACACTGGCCTCTGAAAACCATTACGTTAAGAGTGATGATGCATATTTTAAGGTCTTATTCCACCTATTAATTCAGAGTTTTCCCTAGATGATGTTTGTCATCCCTAGCGGATTCATCGCGTGAGGTCACACGGGACACCATGTAATGCCTCTCCCACTCGGTGAATTTGCTCCCCAGGCCTCCGCTCTCTGAGAGGTGGTTTGAAGGTTTCTGCTGCCAGGTAGTCACCGCTGCCTCGCACCTCCATGGCTGCACTGCTCACCCTCGAAGGGCTAAAGCAGCACCACGTTGC